TATATTATTTTTCCTTTTGAACATTAGAAGTATATTCCTGTTTTTATTTTGCTAATACAAAAGAAAAAAAAAAGAATCATGAGATTAATTTATACATATTTAAAAAATATTCAATATGTTTAAAAAAATATTTAAAATAAATAAATATTATATATTTGAGGGCAATTAACTATCTAATTCGGAGGTTGGCTCAATCCGCTCATTTCTATCTAACACCCTCTTCATGGGATTGAGTTATCTCACATATAAAAAACTATTAATCCAATCAGATTATTAGTCTGACTTTCATTTTTTTCAACTAAACATTAGATTATTTATTTTGCTTGACATAGAGTCTAATCCTATGGTCCAATTTCAACATATGTGGCCTAATTTCAAACATGTCCCCTTCTTCCAACTTGCCACCAAACTTTTTCCTGTATGGTGATATTGGGATTTCACTTAAGCCTCCGTTTGGGAAGTGGGTTGGCTTTTTGGTTTTTTGATTTTTTTGGCTATTTTAGCCTGGGCTAAAAAGCTTGGTTTGGGAAGGGTTTTTTGGCTTTTTAGCTTTTTTGACTTTTTTTGTGAGAGAAGAGTGTAATGATTATGGGTTGGATGTGATGTTTTGTTTGTTATGACTAAAATAGCCTATTTTATTTTTTGTGGCTAAAATAGCCAAAAAAGCCCAACCAACTTTTCCACAAAAAGGGCCTTGTGCACTCTAGGAATGTTAAATTTTATTTATTTTTTTCCTTTTTATATAGATTCATGTCATATATTTTCATATTTTTTAATCTAAACTGGCCATCAAAATTATAAATTTTAAATTATCAAGACATTATAATTTTCTTTCCCCTCATTTTTCTGGTGCAAGTTCATTTTAATTTATTCAACGGCTCAATTTGGGCACCCTACTAACTTTGCCTCAAAATTAAAGTGGGATATCATTTAACTTGTATTATTTTGACTTCTTGTATTTTAGTCTGAAAAGTCTAAAATATGATCTTTGCATATTCATGGATGCTTTTTTTTACTTGGTCTTATTAAACTAGTATTAATGATTATTGAAATACATTTTGTGTGCTTAATGGAAAAGTCATTTGTTAATAAATGGTACATTCAAAGTTAATGTATATATAATAAGAATAATATTACATGCACATAAAATCTATGCACATAAACTCCGGGTTCACACATGTGAGGCTCATGTAAGATCAATCCTCATAAAATGAGGACTTCAGAAATTTTAATAAACAGAATAATTTACAAACACACATTCTATCACATTTATAAGAAAAATAACTTCCCGTGTACTAACCAACATTCAAGTTTTCATTGCCCACAAACAACAAACAAATTAAATATTCAAATCATAAATAGAAGATTTTTTTTTTTTTTATAAATATATTCATGCTATTGTTTCGACAGGATTTCATATTTTAAAAATGTAAAATGATAATATCATTGTCAATAATATCAAACACATCTTTTTTTTTATATCTATGATCAAGCAAGCAATCATTTAGATAAAATACAATATCTATAAATCGTTGAAGTTTTGAACTCAAGAAGGAAAAAAATCAAGGCTCTAGATCCTTCAAGAGCACCACCAGTCCAGCATATTTTGTTTGCCTTTGGTGCTTTGCAGAGTTGTTTTTTATTTTTGATTTTTTATATTCTATGTGATTATTAATGTTGAGAGAGATGAAGCATAAGAGAAAATTAATAAACCTAATTTTTTAGATTGGGAAGAAAATTTTCATTATAAAATTGATAAAAGATCGAATCAATTTAGTACATTGGTATGATAAGATCTCAAAAAAAGATTAAAAAAACTTTCATAGAAAGAATGATCCAAGCTTCTATATAAGAGGAGAAACGGCCCTCAGAAGGAAGGGATTGGAGTTTGAACTTTTTATTATTGTGATAATGACCATGAAACACAAAAAATATAAATATAAATTTTATGTGATAAAAATTTATTGAGATAATTATTAAAAAAAAAATTGCAAAGTTTGGCCTGTATAATAAAATAATTTTTTTTATTTTATCAATATAAATTCTAAATTTTTAAAATTATTTTCAATTTAAACCATCTGTCTATTTCTGCTAAATAAAACTTATAGAAAAAAATGATATTCTAATTATTAAATTTAACAAAAAAATGTTATTTTAACATTAGTATACATTGAGTTTAATGATTAAAATATTATTTTTTCGTCGATTTTGTCTAACAAAAATAGACTGATGACTTAGATTGAAAATAAATTAACATATTAGAGTTTAATTAACAAAATTAAAAACTTAAGGTTTATTGTGACACAAAAGTCAAACTCTGTGAATTTTTTTTTTATTTTTGTCATTTCTTCAAATTTATTTCAATTATAGTCTGCATTACATTTAAAATAAATCTCAATCACGTAATATATATATATATATATATATATTTAACTTTAATTTGCAAATTGAGTTGTAATTAAAGTTGCTCGATTGAGTCCCAACCAAACCGTTCTTTAAAAATCAATTTACCGGATTTACAAGTGTGATAAGATTTTTTATCACCCCAATGTACCACTTGTGCTCTTGAAAACTACTAAATACGCCTTTCAACATCAATTTACATTCATCAGTCGTAGCACATGTAGGATTGTAAATGAATCGACTGATTCAAGAGCTCTAGTTGGACTTTCTAGTAGCTTAAACTCAAGCTCAAATAAATTTGGTTTGAAAAGCTTATAGGATAAATATATTATTTATATTTTTAAATAATGTAAATATAAAAAATTTATTACAGATCGTTTTAAAAAGTTAGTTAAAAGTTGTTTTTTTTAATTTTTTAAATTTTTTTTGAAAAAAATGTGTGAAAAAATAAAGAGATGGTGTGACACAAATATGTTAAAAGCCAAAAAATAGCTTGCTTGTTTTCATTTTTCAAAAAACACTTTTCAGAAAATTCTACTTTCTTATTTTTCGTTTTTTTTGTTTTTACTGAAATTTTTTTAATATTTTAAGTAATTTTTTTACTTTTTAGACGCACCTAACATAAATACACCTAAAAAGTAAAAAAATTGTAAAAAAAGTTTTTTAAAAATGCACTAAATACCAAAAATACAAAAAAAAAATACAATAATTCAATACATTTTTTGTATTTTTATGTATTTATTAATTTTTTAAAATATTCTTTTACAAATTTTTTACTTTTTAGATACATCTAACTAAGATGCATCTAAAAAAGTTAAAAAAATGTTTAAAATTTAAAAAATATTCACTAAAAATAAAAAAATTCGAAAACTAAAAAACTTAGTTTTTAAAAAACTTAATCTAGAAAACTCAAACCAAACACACTGAATAACTTTAATGTACATATAAAATTTATTTGATGTGATATTCTTATCTTGTCTTTTTTTTTTTTTTTCTTTTTTAATTTTCCACCTCACTAGAGAGATATATCATTATTACTTCTTAAAAGAGGCCTATCAAGTTACGAGACCAGCTCGAGTTTGAATAATTTTTGAGATGAACTTGTGCTAGAATTTCATACTAGATAAACAAACCAATCACGCTCAAATCTTACAAAATTCAACTCAGCTTGTTTGTGACGTATATTATATATTGTGCTTCCGCCTGTTTTTCGTTTTCTAAAAGCCTGTTTGGGCCACCATTCTTATTGGGCTACCAAAAGTCTGAGCCCACACACTTTGCTAGGATTTCGGGAGATTTTATTTACACTTAAAAAATCATTAAGTACATCTAATTTTTTAGTATATTCTATTAAATTATTTATGATTATAATTTCCTTTCAATGCACCTTATGTTTTTTCACAAATTACCCTTCAAAATACACCCAAATGATAAACAAATCAAAAATTTCAAATTACACCACTTTGAAAAAACCCACTCATAAACCCTTAAACAAATTTCTCATTACAACTATCCATTTTATTCACATACAAACAATGATTGGTGTGAATTATTCAATATGACATCATATTTACTTATGTGTTCCTATTATATTAGTGACAACCCTATGAAACACTTGGTTGTTGTGTGTGTCGATTTCTGACCACACTGTCAAACAGGTACTAAGCTGGAGAACACCGGCAGAACAGATTAAGCCCGAACAACCTGTCACAGAAAGATAAGATTCTGGCAGTAGTTCGTCCACCTGAGGGCACTCCGACGATCAAGTTAGTTATCTCTCAAAGATAGCAAAAGTGCTTAACTTACTATTCAGAATACAAAAAGCGTACCTTAGACCCACGAGGGTGTCTCTCTTTTATAGCCAACACTGACCTAATCCCAATAGAAGCCTAGCTTCAATGGATTCTGGCTCAATGCTAATCCTGGACTCCCAGTTAAATTGGGATAAACTCTCTAAGAGTCTTATCTTTATCCAAAATGAAGTCCTCTCTCATTCTAAGACTCTTGTCCCTTATCCGCCTATTCCGGATTCTGGTATCTTCGCAGATAATCTTGGCCTAGCCGAGATTATCTCGGCATCATGACCAGGACACGTGACACCTCGGCTGGCACTTCAGTGCCACCTCGGCCACGTGTTGTCATTCAAAAATTATGTCCCTACAATTGCCCCCTAAGTTCTATTACCTCGGCATCCTGAGATGATGGAACCTATACCGTTTCTTCCATTTAACACGTCGGCTAAGCTCGCTTTGTCCTTCATTACCGAGGTCATCATTCGTCAGCTCAATACGACCAAGACTTAGTCTGCTTTCATCAATGCTTCAGAACCAATAACCAAGTTTGTTCAAGTTTCTCAGCCGAGACCGTCCCCCTAGCCAAGGTCCTTCTCCATTAAATCAAGAACCCCAAGAGTTTCAACACGCGTATGAGCTGTCACGCACAGTATTTCAACTGTTTTTGCCATGCGTCTTTCCCCTACTGAGTCGTACCTGACACGCTCCATTAAGTCGCATCGCATTTGCGTGTGCTGTCTGACAAGCACGTCGTCCTAGGCACACTAATTTCTATTTTGCCGCCATTCTGCGTGTTTGATCAAAATCACCTCTCTCTCTCCGTCTTTTCACTTCTTCACCACCGTTTTCGTGCAAGTTCTCTCTCTCTCTACTCCCAAATCCTCCATTGTTTCAAGCTCTCAAGCTCTACAACTACTCATGTTCACCTCCTCCGACGAAGCTCTCTCCGCTCTGCTCTACCTATTTCCACTGTCAGACTCCGGCAAATCTCATATCGGCGTCATTTCTTGTGGGAAGTCACTGTTTCCCCCTTTTTCAGTTTCAAACTCCATTGTTTTTGTCTATTTCCATGGTGAATGTCTTCATTTTCTCCAATCTTTACTTGTGCTTCAAATTTTATCATTTGCATTTTTTAAGCATGTCCTATCTTGTAATTTTTTGTGCTTGTCTTGTTCTTGATTCTTGACCTTTATGTACAAATTGCACACACACTCGCTCAACTTTGCCACTGTTCTTGGTCTTGCACACCTACACAAACTTGTTCAGTGTTCTTTGATTTCTTGTTTGTCTTCTTGAGTCATAATCATATTCTTGTCTCTGTTTTCTGCGTCTTTTTCCAGATTTTTGCCCTCAATTCTTGTTTCCATAGTCTTAGGCTTGGGATTTGTTCTAGAAACTTGATCTTTAGGAAAACCAAACCTAAACCCTTTTTGATCTTCAGAAAAATTCACCTCAGCACACGTTTAGGTTTTAGCCGAGGCCCTTTAAACCCTAACAAACGACTTCCTTCTAAAATCCAACACCTTCCCCACTTAGCCAACGTTATGGGTATGTTTAGGTGGAGGGTAGATACCCCAACTAAGCTAGCATACTTTAGGCAGGAGTTTTCCATCCCTGCTAACGTTCATCTCAGGTTGGCTGGGGAGGAGGACTCCATCATACCCAAAGAAGACTCCATGCTATTCCCAGTAATAACCTTCATAGAGTGTGGACTTAGGCTCCCTCTGGACATCCTTTTCCGAGAAGTTCTCCACTATTATAAACTCAACCCAATGTAATTAGCCATTAACTCTTACAGAGTCATCAACGGAATCATTGACTTAGCTAGCCGAGAAAATGCTAGGGTAACTTTAGCCGACATCCAGTGCTGCTACACCATGTGTGGCCTTAAGTTAGAAAAAGGCTACATTTATTACCTTAAGCCGAGGTCGACAGAATACAAACTCATTGCCGATCTCCCTGATCCCAACAAGGGCGTCAGGGACGATTACTTCATCGTCTGGGGCAACTGGAATCTGAACAATGTACGGCTTAGAGAGTAAAAGTAGAGGTGAAGGTCATCAGATGATATTTTACTTGCTTCTCAAGTCTTTTTTACTTTGATATTTTTGTATGCTCTAACGCCTGTATTTTTTATTTTACAGTTCTTCCTCAACCTCCAAAGGACTTCTGCAAAAACTTCTATCCCAGCAAGGATTTCAAGAAGCTGTTAGGTCTGCTAGTTGATCAGTGGAAAGCCCCTTTGTTGCTCAACTACATCCCGACGTACAAATCTGTACTTCCCGACGTCCCAAGAAAAAGCAAGTCTCCTCCTTTAGCAACAACTCCTGCTACAACTTCATCACCTCGGGCAGATCAGGGATCAACCTCTGATCTAACAGAACAACCATCAACCTCGGCTCCACAACTAATCCCACCTTCTCAACGTAAACGCTGACGTCGAACTGTAGCCGCTGTAGAGATGGGTCGTAAGAAGGCTGTAGCAGACGACCTTCTAGCCAATATCCCCAACACTGTCACCGTACAATATTCAACATCCCAGTCTCAGCCAAAGCCAAAGCAAAAAAGACTAAAAAAAGTCCAAACTAAGGCAACGGTAACTCAGATCGACTCTGAGGACACTTTGCCAATATCCAAAATAGCCGAGGCGGAAAAAAGTTGTAACGCCCTCAATTTAAGACATAAATCATTCATTCACAAGTTTCATGAACATAAAGAAAAGAATACATTTCATTCATCAGAGTCTTCTTTACAAAAATATTACATGTTATCAACAAAGTAAAATGCCCTACGGGCTTACAGCTTTTAAAGTGATCACTTGGTTACAACAAAAGAAGAGTTCAAACTCTATACATGAAAAGCCCTAGGCTTGGATTTACATTTAACACAAAATATAAATAGCAAAACGGAGTCTTCAACTCCTAAACCTCCCAAGCTAAGACCTTGGAGGCGGCATATCACCTGTACCTGAAAAATAGTGTCCCAAGTAGGGTGAGCCAATGCCCAGTAGAGATATGCTAAACAACATATGAGAATTAACTAAAACATTAGCATTCGATAAATGTTTAACACTTATGAACCATCTTAAACCTTTTCCATAATCAATCAACATTGATACCACATTTCAATTCACTTCCAGTTATTACCCAAGTCAATTCATTGACATAATTCATTATCATATAAACAATTCAAAATGAGACTGCAACTCATTTATCAACACTTCACATATAAACATCAATCATACACTTCCATTATCTTACTATTTTACGGAACTAAGTCTGAGGGAACCGACACCCAAATATAAATAAGATTTCAGGACTTTCACCCTAGACACTCTGGCCAACTTAATTATCCATGGAGTCCATCCCCTATCTCCTCCCAAACAATGGAGTACATCCCCTACCTCCTCCCAAACGAAGATATATATACAATGTATTTACACACGTTGTCATATATAATGACCAATTCAATCACATATACAATGTTTACATCCAACCGTCATATTCAATGACATAATCCAGTTGATTAGTTTCAATTTACCTAATCATCATGCAGTTTCTACAACAATCATGGATATCCTCCACCGATAGTCCCAAAACAGATGTATCTAAACAGATAAATAAATTTCTCAACAAATAATTTATCAACTTTTTCATAGGTGAGTGACTTATTAACCCAACTACACCATTTAATCACATGTTCCTTCAATTCCATAATTTCCAAGCCAATTTCATTAGTTATACAACAAATCCACTATTTATACAAAATAGTTAATTCCAAACTAGGGCATTTTCCCCCAAATTCCAAGAACATTAACCCAAGGTCCAAATCTCACCATTTCAACAATTACACACCATTAACCCCATTTTTAAGATCCCTCTTACACATAAAGAGTTTAAATTTGAAAACCCCTTTTCCTCAAATCAAGACCCAAACCCTAACTTTACCCAAACCAATCATTTATACAAAATGACCAATATTTATGTTAAAGCCCATAAAAATGAGTAGATTATCCCTACCTCAAGAAGAGAAGACAAGCCAAGCAAGAGATGAACTCCAAGAATGACGAAATCAACTTCTACTCGGATGAAAATGGAGATCTTGAAGAGCTCAAACTTTTTATCAAAGGAATGAGGGTGAGGAGATCACTAGATCTAGATCAAAATGTAGAGAGAGAGGCTCTCAACTTAGGGTTTTGGAAAGTTTTGGAGAGAGAAAGGGCAGAAAAGTGATTTCAAAAGTCACTTTTGCAATCTGATATATGTACAGTCCGCTCGAGTGGAAAGTTTGACGCTCGAGCGTAAGACACAAAAATTTGACCCACTCGAGGGCAACAAAGGCCACTCGGGCGCCAAGAAACAACAGCAAGGCACTACCTACTCGAGCGCAATGATACCCGCTCGAGCGTAGAATACACTCGTCCAGTATTTTACAGATTTCAGACAGTCGCTCGAGCGCCAGAGGGGTCGCTCTAGCCCAGACCCGCTTGAGCGTAAGAAACTCCGCTCGAGCGCGAAAAACACTTTTGTAGTATTTTTGCAAACGCACAAAGTACTGAAGGATTGCAAACCCCGCTCGAGCACAAAAGGACCTGCTCGAGCAGAAGACCAAAATTCTAGGCAACAAGGTTCTTGACCAAAAACCAACTAACCTGTTTTGAACACGCCCAAGACATCCCAAAACTCAAATTCAAAGAGTAGGAGGAGGAAAAGACATAACGACAACATTAAACCATAAGACCCGAGTCCAAAACACCATAAAGGTCGAGTTAGAAACCGAGATCGCTATAAAAGTGCCTCCATCGCTGAAAAGAGGCCTGCCGAGGCTGTTCCCTCTGAATCGACCCGGTCAAAAAAGCCGAGGTCAAAGTCTGCGACAACCTCGGGGTCTATGAAATCTGATGCCCCCTGGGCCCCTTCAATCACTATTGAGGACAAGCCAGTCAAAATCGACGATAGCGCAACTAACCTTGAAGTCGGCGTTGCCCTCTCTACTGCCTTGCTCCTTCCAAAAGACCTCGAACGCAACGCCGAGGTCAGCAAATATAAAAACTTCGCACTGATGTTGCAGCATTCCATACAAGTAAGCCCCTAACACTTGGCATTTTTCATTCTCCGTTTTATCATACTTAGAGTTTTTTTTTTTTTTTTACTAACTCTTGTTTTTCCTCCTATTTCTTCTAGGCGATCCAGCATGCCCACTCCTTCGTGATGCAGGCTTTTGACATCAAGAAGGAATTGGTCAACAAGACCAAGGAGGCTGCTAGTTTGTTGAAGACAGTCAACAGAGCCGAGGCCAAGATGCAAACTCTGATGGATCAGGCCAAGGCAGCAAAACAAGCCCAAGACGAGGACGAGGAGAGAGCGGGAGCTACTGAGGCCATTGCTAAGGTCCTTGGGGCCGAGAAAAAAAAAGGCCGAAGGAAAGACCGCCGAAGCCCAGGCCGAGCTCATTGCTGCCTTGGCCACAAAGGACGCCGAGATCAAAGCGGCAGATGAGAAGGCGTATACCGAGGGGGCAGCCGACGTCAAAGAAGACTACAAGAAACAAGTGATGCAGGCATGCAACAAGGGTTTCACCCTTGGTTGGATGGCTGCTCTGAAGGAGTTGGCTGTCCTTGAGGACTCTCCTCTCAAGAATGCTAGCAACCTCGTCCTGCCATTTCCTCCCTCTTCAAGCCAGTCCGAAGACGAGGCTGAGTCCAAGGAGGAAGCTGAGGCCGAAAAGTCTGAGAAGGCTATGGATGCTGGGGCCAAGTCCCCAACTCTAAATAAGCAAGTCTTGGACTTGACTCAGAAGGAGGAGGACGAGGTCTCA